TTGATAAGGGCCTACCTATCTTGTTTACGATAAGATTTCAATATGTTCTCTAAACTGATCTAAAGAATAACCTCTGCACTACTCAATTATTATTTATAAAGATTGCCTGTCTTTAGGTAAGCTCTCTTCATACTTCTTCAAGTGACTCTACAAAAATTAGCTGTAAGTTCCATAAACGCAGTTGTAAATATTTTTTACGTATAAAGTTTTCATTAAAAAGTCATTTTACAAAATTTCTAACGGTAATAGCCAGGTTACCAAACGTAACAGACCGCCTAAGACCAGGTCCTGATCTTGTAAAATATATAATGATATAACTAAAATGAGATAAAATTTAAAAATTAATAGCTATAGCTATAAGGTTAAACACGCTCTCAAACTTTTACTACTAGCTAAATTAAGATATACTATTTGGTTTTAGCTAAGGATTAATAAAACATTGAAATATAAAATCAACGAAGCTTTCGAACAAATTGATCGCCTACAAATAACATTTAGTAAAGCATAAAAATTAGGCACTGCCTACTTAGGAACCTTTATCACAGAGCTTACGCACCCATAACCTAATGCAATTTTAGCGGATCCGAGAACCCAACTAAATTGCAAAGTTCTAAAACGGCTGATACTTTCAGTAGCTTCATTAAACTAATTTAGAAGTTATTACTAAATCTTACTAAGGATTATTCTTTTGAGCTTATTCCAAAACTGCAAGATCAGTCACAGAAACATGACTGAACTTGTATCAGTATTATAGCATTCGATCCGCCTTGAATTCGGTGTTGTTTGCTATGATATTGAATAGAGTTAGCTACTAGTACTATATATATGCGGCGGATCCATCATTCTGGCATTGACTTTGGTTGTATTGAGCAAACAAGCTAATTAATTTATATGCTTAACCTTCGCGATGAGTACTATTATCGCCTTTCGAAGAGAAGTATGACATAACCCGTTTACAACTAGTTTTGAATACATGAAATTTCATAGAAGACCCTAAGGTTAATAAACTGCTTTATTTTTTCAAGGAAAAAGCACTGAATAAGATCGTTAATGACAGTGCTTCCAATAAGAGTACTGATCCCCAGGAATATATTTTATGTCACCTTTCTGTCAAATAAGTCAAGATTGTGCTAACTTCCTGTGAATGATCTGTGGCTACGGAAGGCTATTTCAAATTTGAGGCTAGCTCCGAATGTTTGCCTTTGTTTTTTTAGCCTCTACCAGGACGGGATGCAAGGGGATAAGATATAAGCGAGGAACTCTCACCACAATTGGTTCTAGGGGTGACAACGAATCGCCAACGCAGCACGCCGAAGAAGTATTCGTCGTTTGCATAAACTTATGCAAACCGTAAAAGCTAGGGAGCAAGGGTAAGCAGCGTTAAAATAAGCCTTCATGCCAAACTCAGATCAAACGCTCATTAAGTAGTTAATAACCTACCCTGGGATCTAACCCGTATTTAAGCTCATAAATTTTAAAGTTTATTGCTCAGCTTGTTCTTCGGTCTTTGACAATTGCGTGTTCTCTCTCTTCCCTAGAGTTTCTTATATTTACAGTAGTTAATTTAATATCTTCCCTAACAAAACGTATTTATTTAACAATGGCTATTAGTTAGGGCGCTCAAGCTTATATCATTATCTCGTTGTCTTTTCCATTCTAGTAGGATAATAATAAAATGGGATCAAATCGCCTTTCAAAAGAGCAATTAAGCATTATATGCACGAAGTAGAATTCATGATACTTTGCGATGCCACGCCTATCCACCTCTCCCAAAGCTGATAATGGTTGCGGGAGTAAAGCTACTCAATAGTCCAAATATTCTCTCCTCTACATCGCGTTCTATTTACAGGCACTACAGTTTAACTTAGAGTTAACAAGATAAACGGCGCTTGTTGCCTTAATATTAAGGCCACGGTTCGTTGATAAACTGTTAGCATCCTGCCGAAAACCTAACGAGGCACAATCTCTTTAAGCGGCGGGAAGAAACAGTGTTTAAGAAGTTAAACAGTAAAAATTAAAGCGATCGACTGAACAAAATTCTCTTCATATTATTTACTTAATAAAAGAATAGATTTTAACTAACTTTTTCTGAGTATAAATTTATAATGTACTTTGACTATAAGCTCAATCATAAGGTGATCAGTGAGATTCTTTAGGTTTCTTGCTAGTTTTCGTTATTACTTAGCAAATTACTAGCAAGAAACTGATACAGCTTTCTTGTTAATTAAAAAATAACTTTATACTTTTTGACACTATTTATAGCTTAAAACTTCAAAGTTACTTAAACTTTCTGTGTAAAATCGTTTATAACGAATTTTTATTAAATAAATTAAAAAATTAGTAGTGGCTATATTTTTTATCATGTTCTTCAGCGCTGAAGCGTACTTAAAACGGATATCTACTCGTAAACTCTAAAAAACCTACTGGATAGCTATAAAGTATTATACATAAGCGTTTAGCTTATTAGAACTATAAGAGGGAAGTTTTTATCTTTTTATAACAATTTAGCTTCTGTTGGCAAAGGATGTCGAAAGTTTAAGAGCCAATGAAGACTAATCAGGATTATAAGTTAAAATACATATAACGCAAAACCCAATACCCGTTAGGAGTAGGAGCTAGAGGGAATTTGTGGCGTAAAAATGCAAACAATACAGGTATATAGTTAACTGTGACCACACGCTTGTACGAGGTTACAGATTTCTCGAATGTAGTGGGAGGCAATTTAATAAAGGTGATAACGTTGCCTTTCTTTCTAAAAAGGAGCTGTAGTTTAAAGGAAAGTTCTACGCGAAGGGCAGTAGTACACAACACTTGTAAAAATTGTTAGGTGATTCTAATATTTGTTATACACAAACTTGGTGAAATGTTAAATAGTAACTATATCAAATACTTCCTTAGTCCAAGCTATATTTCTTTAACCTTGAGAGTTTTATTAAGAGACTACTAGATAATATCTTTACCGGTTTTAACACAATTGTATGGTTTCCATAGAAAAGACCTTGCACTAATTTGTTGAGAAGTAAAAAAAAAAAATAAAGAAAAAAGTTAATCTCTTAATAATACAGATAGGACGTGTGTATATGCAAACATAGTACAGAGAAATTTTAACAAATAACAAAGGCGCTTCTATAAGTAAATATCCTATCTTAACAAATAAACAATAGGAAAAGATCGTTCTGTTAACTAATATTTGCATAAGGGGAGATTACATTTATGTGTAAACGATAAAGTACTTGCACAATTATATAACTTTTAATACGCCATGAAAAGCTAGAGTGGCTATTAAAAGTAAGTAAATCCTTTTATTTACTATATGTTTTGCCAAAGTCAATTTTATGTGGGTATTAAAGTTTAAAGAGCACACTTCAATAGTTTTGTAATCTACAACCCTTTTTACCAAAATGGATTACTTTTTTAAAATACTCGTAACTTAATTTAAAGTGTTTTCCCTGGTGCTAAAACTTTAGAAAAACGTAATAGTGTACACGTATATATAGTGTCGACTTAGTAAATCAAATCTCTACGTAAATATATTTACCCATTTTGTTTTTTTTAGCTCTTCTAATATAAAACCATGAGAGGAAATTTACATGGTATAATATAAAGTTATATCCTCTATATAAGTTTAAAAGAGGGCACATATATTATAGACAAGTAACAAAAATTAGTTTAAAAAACGCGTCAAGCGCACCACGAAATTTAAATAAAAAGTGCTGACATTAAGTAAAAAACCCTCTTATAAACAAAAAGAGGTGGAGAATCCGATAACACAAACACTGCTATAAAGTTTATACTGCTTATATTCTCCTTTTAAAATTCCCTGGGAACTATTTAATCGCAATATACATCAGTATATGTAACAAAAAAAGAACCACCTTCCTTAATCCATTAAAAAAAAATTTATATTTAACTGCTTTACGGATAAGTTCTTCTTCTCTTATATCTATCATCACTACATAAGTATTTGTAATATACATAAAAGATAACGAAACCTTTTATTTATATATAAAAAAAAAACTGTAGGTCACTTTGACGGCCCTTGGAATACAAGTCATGGCTAAACTGCATGTTCCGCGGTCCCTTGGAAACTGGGACTTTCGCGACGTATAAGGCTGTAGTAGCAAGTTTTTTTATGTGTAACTCATGTTCTTTAACGATTCTCATACTGTTAAGTCTTTTGAATCTTTTGAAAGTATAGTAGAAGCATTAAGTTTTGATAATAAAAGGTCTTATCTATGATTTTGAACATATATCTCGTTTCTTTTGTGGAACTTTTTTTACGTTTAGCACCAGAGTGGAGCTGACTCGGATAATTTCCGCAGGTTACCCTTTCTTGAAAATTATTGAAAGCTTTAAACTTAATTTATCGAAATATAAGGATAACTTAAAGGTAGATTTTTTTTTCTATTGTATAAAAAATTTTGTGTTAATAAGTTTACCCTTTGATTCTCTACAATTTACTAATTAGCAAACTTTATTAATCCACATTTGCTGTTTATATACATCAACTTTAAAGTTTGTTTTACCAGAGCATATTTAAGAAAATAAACATATTTCTAGAGGAACACCTACTTGGATTGTGTTGCTTTTGCTTATGAATATTATATTGATAACGAGAAACTAGAGAGGCGTGAAGCTGAGAAATTTGTTATTGTTCTTTGCAAGACCATAGTTGTATCAGTACGTTCTGGTGTTGAAAATTGCTCCCTTAAAGGTTAAACACTGAGCCTTATTTGTTTACTAGAACTTAAATTCTTGTATACGACTTATAACAATAGAACTTTTATAACGAACTTTTGTTATGTGCATCTTTATAACTTTCTGCTACTAAAATCATTATTTGTTTTCTTTTGTAACATTTTATTTTAAAAGTTATTTATATTATAATTCGTCTCATACTTTGTTATTGCACAAAATTCAAGTGTATATAAATTAGAATCTAAATTTAATTTTTTTTTATTTACCAAGCAGCTTATTTTTTCCCCCTTAAACGCGTTTTCTTATAGACTCCTTTATTGTTGAAGAACACAAAAAAGTGTTTTCTTTACTTTTACGTTCTTTACACTCCAGTAATTTGGTCAGTAGGGGTTACAATTTATTTATAATTATAATAATGGTTAATTAATTCATATAAGGTTTGCGTAGATAGGTCAAGCCGGGTAACTTTGTATCTATTATTTACATACGTTTGGCTCACCTCGTACACAGCCTCAAGTTTAACGGAACTTATTAATGGTTTGTGGTTTTTTAATTCAATTTTCGAAAGATTTTATTTTTTTTTAAGGTCTTCTGAAGAAACTTTTCGAGATTGCAGTGATTTTCTCGGAAACTGAGTCTACTTTAAATTTTTTTCAAAGTGGTGTAAAGGGAAGTATACCTCACTTTTCAAGCGAAATTAGCGATCTCATTTCTCTTCACTTTGTCCAAATCATCTCACTTTTTCGAAAATTTGATTGTGACTTTGAGGCACTGACTTGGAAAAAGTATTGCTTTAGTATCCCTTCAGCTTTGCTTATATTCTTTTTTTATTTTCGAAAAGTGTTTATATTTCTGGTTTTGGCTGCCGTTTGATTTCTTCTTTTGCAATTCTTTTCTTTTATCACATTTGAATTAAATAATTCTATTTTAAATTTATGACTCGATTATTAAAATAATAAACCTTTTCACGAAACTTTTGCATTTTATAAAAAATTTTTACTAATTTTATTTTTTTTACTTCTTTTGTGATAAATAAGTTTTTTTTTAAGCAAATTATTTCCATGTTTTGCTTATTTACTTATATGAGCCACTTATTAGAAACCCTTCTTTCTTTTTCTTATTTTTTTTAAAAACTTCTTTTATGAATTTTAAAGCATTAAGATCTGTCATAATAAAGATGTCCCGTCAAATTAATTTTGGAGGAAATGTTTTACTGCTTAATAGAAAGAGATGTGAACAATGCAAATATCAGGTTTTCAGCTAAGGAGCTTTCGGTCAAGCGAGATCTCATTATTGTTTTTGTCAAGTTCGATAGTGCCAACGGTGCTCCTATTCACGCACGATTACGAGGAAAAAAATAAAGTTATTGGTCTGAAATTGATGCATCATCTTCTAAGCCAAATTTCCAGAGAAACGCTTCTCTTTTGCAATTATAAAGAAGTTTTTTTAAAGGTGAGCCGTTAATTTTTATTTATTATATATTTTTTGATGCACTCGAAAAGATTTTCACGGAATTTATTGGCTTTGCTAATTCCGAGCTTGTAAGTTGGCTTCTAAAATGTTTGTATCGTTTCTTTTATGTTATGGATCCCAAGCCTTGCATGAATTTTAATATTAATCACAGTATGTTTTTTTTTTTCACTTTTTTTTTGTATTATATTTTTAAATAATTAAAGCTGATTTAAAGCAATGCGGAAAGTATAAAATTGCAGGAGATTTGGATGTTATTTTTGGCAAACTCCTTAATGAAATGATTTATGAAAATAATTTAGCATTACGCGCAGTTTAATCTTATTTTATTTTTCTTATATTTTTATATATTCACTATTTTGGGTGAGGAAAGGCTTACATTAACGAATTTTCTCCTTTAATTCTGCTGTTGGGCACACTTTGTACGCGCCATTTAGATGTAATTTTATTTCGTAGGCGAGTTTATTGCTGAATGTCACTCACGCTATTTATAGAATTTAGTAAAAGTTATTTGCAAACATTTTGAGCAATTTGCAGTGTCCACCATATTTGGAGCGCTTGATTCTCTAAATGTAGTTATCAATGTTTGCAGTATTCGGTATTCATATATATTAGAAAAAGTTAATTACTAAATCTTAATCTTTTTTAAATAAAAAAATAAGTTAATATATGAAATCTTTACACTTTTTTAGTCTCAGAGTGTACGCTAAGGAAATATTTGTAAGTTTACTAAGAATAAATGTATTGCCCGCCGTAGAAAAAGAGGTTCTGCCTTGCCGCTCGTTTACTTTTAACATAGTCTTTACTTTTTTTTTAATTACTCAAGACTGAGAAAGAAATAACTCTCGCCGTATTAAGAATTTGTAAAACTTTACAAGAAAATTACTTGAACTTTACTTCCGTAAGAAGTACCTTGTTGTATTTTTGTATAAATCTTAATTAATTTTTTTGCAGCCCACAGAAGGTCTGACTATTGAAGACTTTTCTTCCTCGCTTGCAAAAATTATAATAAATGAATTATTTTAAAAAAAAATTGCAAGTCTTTTTATAAACCCCATTAGCCCTAATGAGAATGCTGTATTTTTGCTCGTGGATTGCCATTTTTTTTTAGTGCTGGTTGCTCCTGAGTTTATGCCCTACAATGGTTGCACCGTTTCCGCTTTATTTGCTTTGGCACGAGCGGGTTTTCCTTCGTGTTATTTTCTCTTTGCTTTGTTTAAATACCAACAAGTCTTTGCGATATTTAGTCATTAACTGCTCCGCTTCATTTAAGTATTTTCGTTTTTCTGAACCGCTTAACCCCCGCCATTCGTTTATAGCCAGAGCCTGTAGCTCGCTTTTCTAAGAGCGCAGGGTTTATTTTAGTTATAGAGGGGCAGTAAAATTATTAGACACACAGTGGTATTTTATATTAGTAAAGTAACACATAAACTGTTAAAAATCAAGCTTTTTTAGAAGAATATATTAAGGGAGAAACGAATTATGGCTTTTGCTAATAAACATAAACACTATCGTACTAAGTCAGTACATATACTGAAAGAAATATGAGATCATTTTGCTTACTGGCATAAAGGGGAAAGTAGCTTGAATTGTATTTCTAAAAGTCATGTAAGCATCGGCAGGCTTAATTAAAAGTTTTGTTTCTCCATTGCTGAAGTTCTTTTTTGTTTTTAACTGCTCACTTAATGACAACTCTTTGGTTTTTAAGTTTAAGCTTTTCTTGTTTCTAGATATATTGCGAAATTTGTTCATGATACTGCCGCTCTTTTTATTCTTTTTACCACTGCCTGCCTTTGCGAACTTCATTAATTTAATAACTTCATCTTGTTTAGAGGGCCCTGTGTTTAATAACAGTAGATAGGTCGAGGATGTAGGTATATGTTGGTACATATATTATTTACCTGTGCAGCAGATATCGCAGTAAAATTTATACCCATTGCCAGCTACCGTTCCAAGTTTCTTATACATACTTCTTGTAAATCCACAACATTTAGCATGAACCCAAGTTATACAGTTTTCGCACTGCAACATATAAGGTGTGTCATCCTCGTACCTTTTGTTTGAACTAGGAAGTTAACACATTGGAATTATTATGGAAAAATACCACAACCTCTCGTTACATACAGGGCAGGACATAATTTTTTTAAGTTTATCTTTTTTCTTATTACCTTTCAGGTATCAGTCCTGCTTTTTACACAGATAACATTTAAAAAAATTACTTCGTTATAATTAAATAATATATTTATTAGTTACGGTGTAATATAAGAGGCCTCCTTTATTTATAAAACTTTATAATGAGTTTTGCGAATTTATAAAGAGCTCCCTCCTGTCTTTTATTACGTGTGTAGATGGTCTTTGTCTTTTAATATTTGCAAATACTTTGCTATCTTTAATATTGATTGCTTAGTTAACCTATATACTAATTATTTTCTAAATATAGAAAGCTATTTTTTCTGTAGCCATTCATTTTTTACATTTAACATTTTAATCAATGAGGACCATTTAGGTTATATTTACATCCATTTTAGTTATTGTACCCTCTGCCTTTCATCTTTCCTGTAAATGTTTACCACTTAACTAAGGTATAAGTCTACTTTCTTCTTTTTATTTTAGTCAAAAAAATAGTTTTTACTCTTCCTCTTTTGTTACCCGGCGAATTTGTACATCTCATTACTTGCTAGATAAAATTAAATAATATGCCGTGGTTAAAATGTATAAAATTATAATAGCGCAATAACTTTTTGAATATATTTAAAGATTTGAATATAACTTCTTCCGCAAGCTCGGTTTTTTTTAGTATTTTTAAAAATTGGTTAAGTGTCCAGAAGAATAAAAATTTTATTCTTTAAAAATTGCTCGTCCATACGGTTTCTAATTGCATTATTATATTAATACTTACAACAATTTGTTTTAAAGTATATAGTTATATATGTATTCTTAGACAATTTGATGTTTATTAGTCATAATAACTTTATTAGGGTATGATATCATTAAATAAAATATTTTAAATTAAAAAAAAAATTATAATACTAAAGTAGTTTATTGTATATTACCTACAGTATGTAACCAAAAAAATTTAATATTAAAATTAGGCTAAAACCATTTTAGCATTATCTACTTTTAAAAGAAAATATGAAATGAATAAGTCTATTATTCTACGCAGTCTTTCAACCATGAAGGCTATCTCTAAGTTATATTAGTTTACGCTTCATGCTGAAGTCGAGTAGACGCCAAAGTGGGAAAATCAATGTGGAGTTTCATAAAACGCCAATATAAGCCAGTAAAAAGGCGGGTAAGGCAAATATTGCTATAAGTATGGCTCACCGTTGAACTGGGCATCAAGAATGGAAGAAAACTATACCAAAAGGGCTAAATGGTTTAATTGAAACTGATTCTTAAGACTTCGTCAAAAATTTTATAGAGTAAAACTTAAATTTTACTCCTCGGAATATTCGTATCAGCAGATAATGCTAAAATCCCATTTTTTTAAAAGGGTTTACACAACTCTAAATATGGAATATCAGTCAATTTCTTCTGTACTACCGAAAGAAGTCATTAGACTCACGAAAATAGTTGCATTTTAGAAGAGTTTCAGATTTATAAGTTTGATACATAAAAAGCTTATGTTCATACTGACACAGACTTTATATACATATAGAGATTTCACTAGTTGGGGACTTTTTGTCCCCTGCCAACAATTTTTAGATCCACTGTTTAATATTAAAAAGGGCCCTCTATGGAAGCAAGCAGGTGGGCTGTTTGTGTGAAGCACACAACTTCTCGTTAAAAAAAAATAAACGTTAATTTAAAGTGGAAGCTTTGCACCTTTAAATTCTCAAGAAATTCTTATAAGTTTTACTAAATATATAAGTATTTGTATTGCGCGTTTACACAGACAAAGAGGAAAAACTAAAAGAAACTAATATCAAAGAATAACAAAGAATAACGGAGGTGCGTGCATTCTTTTATCGGCATTAATTTCACCTTTTCAATTCGATGTTAACCAGTTCACTGATATCACCGAATTACTAAATAGTTATGAGGTAATTACTGTAAACTTGCGGTGAATTATGCCTCCTTCCCTAGTTTAAAAGGCACTAATTACAAAAGCCCATACTAGCAACTAATGATTTTATCACAGTATCTGGTGCCTTGAACCAGATTAGACATTCAGAATTCCCTAAGTTTCGCAGCACTTAAAAACATTCAAAGAATATCACTTGAGAGCAGCAAAATATGTGCTAAGAGGCCTGAA